GCCGCCGTGAACCTGACCAAGAACCGGCGGCTGCAGTCAGGAGACCGCGAGATCTTCGTCCTTCACCAAAGCCGGGAACTGCATCGCCCGGAGACTGGACGTTTTCAGCTGAGGAAGCCCCTTTTCGGCGGTCTCCTCTTCATCATGCACAGCCTCCACTTCCACGGTCTGTTACCCCTCCTCCAAGGGCAAAATCGGCCCCTGCAGCTCGAGCATCTCCACCTCAGCATCGACCTGCTTCTGATGTACCTCCCGGGAACTGGTATGGTGAACATGCACCACCACCGGGACAATGGGTACCTCGGCCTCCGGGGCAATGGCAGCCACAGCCTCCACAACGCAGGGTGCCACCTCCCGGTTTTCTTTCATTAGCGGGAAGACCCACCTTTCAATCTTCTGAGGCCCCCAAGGCGCCCGAGCCCAGCAAATCTTTTCAAGGCCAAGAGCCTAAGAAGCAACAAAAAGCTTCCAAAGCCCATACTGGATCGCCTCAGGTTAAAGAGCCGGGCAAAAGACCAGTAGATTTTTCGCGAGCTCCGGTGACCCCCCCAAAGTCACCACCTAAGGTACCCAAAGGTACACAAGGAAAGATGTCAGGCAAACCTGAAGAGCCTGGCAGACCTTCAAACTTCGTCCCACCTGCTCAAAAAACGGCGGACGAAATGTTGGATGAGGAGCTTCGAAAATCGAATGCTCAAGCGTCCACTTTTGAACAAGAAGCGCAGGATTTGGAGCAGCCTTTCATCGACGCTTTTCACGCCACAGGAAGTGATCTGCTCCAACAAAGTGGCATGGCTGAGAGCTATGAGACCTTTGAGTCCAAAGATCCTCTCACGCCATGTCTTGCATATGTTTTGTTTGTGTTGCACTACCGCAACAATTTGTTTCCGGATTCCTGGCTGATTTTTAAACATACCGAGATGCGAGAACTTCGCGATCGGAAACGAGCCACTGCTGCGTACTGCCGGCCCTGGTCTTCCATTTCCAACAGTGATGTTGATGGCGTGTGCTTGGAGCTTCTAGGCCTCTTTCAAGAAGCTCCGCCGCCTCAGTCCATGAACAGCGGCATTTTTCGTACATTTGCCAAAGCTCTGATTTCTGCCAAGATTAAAGTGGGCAATCATTTCAAGCCTACGGCAAAGAGCTATCACATGCCCAGCTGCAACAGCAAGCTGTACCTCTTTGAAGTTCAGTCTTTTCCTGGACCTGAGCCTGTGGGGCAATCGAGCCTGGCATGGGCCCACTGCTCTGATGTTCCAGGCTCTTGTGGAATACTAGCAGCTGGCCGAGTAATCCGGACAGCTGCTTATACTCTTGGTATCAGAGAGGATCAGGAGTCCATGTCTTTTTTCGGTCGGTGTCACACCAATCCTTCGTGGACCGAGAATTTCATTGAATGGGCTGCCAACCTCAATTGGAGCACCAAGAACTCCTCCGGCATTGTGTTCGGCGACTTTTTAAGTGGACATTTCATTAAAAGTCCATCAGCCAACACTGTCCTTGAGAATTCTATGTGTCGGCTTCACCCGGCCGTGCACTCAATCTCAAAGGACAAAAGGCGGGCCATCAGAGAGTCAGCTGCCCGTATCGATTTCATTATTGTTGTGGCAGATCAAGGCTCTGCTGATTTTCCTGCTCCGGCGATACTGCCGATGATTGCTGACAGAATCAGCCAAAGAAGCATTCAGGATACTGAAGCTTGGGGAGGATGGGCTGGATAACCGCCAAGCCCCACATTTGAATTCATCATTTTGCAGTACTGCCGACATGCTGCTGAAAATCAACAGCAACTTGCTGCGTGCTGTCCTTCGCTTTTCTTCGATCTTTTATGTCTGTGACAATCAGCCGCTGCTCAAACCTTTTGTGGATCAGCCGCTGACGAGCCTCATCACATGATTCCTGCCGCGCCTTCGTCTGTTTCTTCTGCTTCTTCTTGGCATTCTGCTTTCGATCCTCCCGAAGAAGCTCGCTCATCCCGTGAGAGGAAGAAAAGTCCAAAGGACAAACTTCTCGCAAGAAAAGCCAGAAGTACAAGTCAAAGAAGTCCAAAAAGATTTCAAAAGAAAAAGCAGATGTGAAACATCTTGCTGAGAAAAAGCTCGAGGAAAATACCTCGAAGCCCATACGGACTGGCGATGTTGTGATCGACGCCATTTGCAACAGCAAACCTGTACCACCCCCAGAAACGGCAACATCCACTGTGTACAAAGAATTGGGGGCCGGGGGGTAGCTAAGATGATGGCTCGTAGCGGATTAAGGTGCGCATGCCATTATGTACGTGCACACCTATGCCCTGTGAAGCTCATAGCCGAAGAATTTGGCTACGGAGTTTCCGATCGTGCCTCCGAATAGGGCGTTTGAATACTTGTCATTCTCCCACGTCGGAAAAAGAAGGTCCAGCTTTTGTACAGGAGTTTCCAATGCCAAGCAAACGCAGCTCAAATCTTCGTTCCCCGCAGTGTTGCTTCGGCCTCTTTTCGGTAAGCTATACTCTCCCGTGGCCACATGTCCGCTCTATCGCTGGTCGTGTCCAGCCCGGCCATCGTGGCGAGAGTGATGTCTTTTGTTTCTTCGCGAAAGCACATCTTCTTCTTCTACTTCAATCCGGCATTTTGGTCTGAAGAAGATCGTGATCAACTCGAGTTTGCTGACTCTTCAGAATCTGATGAGCCTTTTCCTGACAGTATGGCTCGCATCATTTCTGATCGCATTCGCCAACGATTTCGGCTTGTACTTCCTGCTGATACATCGATTGCAGTCAACAATCTCAACTATGGTTCCATTCGGGAACACTTTGTACAGCGAGAGTGCCCAGCACAACCACCTGGCTGGCCGAATGTGCTGTACGTGCCAGTTATGTACAACTCGGCACCTATGCCACAAGCCACCTTTTATGGTGCGGTCAACCGAGTTTTTCTGCAATCCACCTTGTGTCTCTATAAAGGGACTTTGTACATTGCTTTTCGGCAGCTGCTGTTGCAATCGCAGCAGCAAGGCATTCTTTTCGATTGGTTGTGCAACGATCGCGAAGATCGCTTTCGTGTACGCTCAACTCTCATTGCAGACATGAGGGTTTTTCGTGTCATTTCGCCCCTCAACGAGGCACCCTAACACTATCATGCGCAGCGGAATGAATAAAACTTTTGCTGCTCAGAGCTTTTTCTGCACAGTTCGTGTATCTTTGATCCAGTGATACAGAGTACTGGCTCTCAGAGAAACCATGGCTGATCGCAGCAGATCCCGTTCCCCAACGATTTCATGGCGCTACTACTGGACCAGCTCGGTAGCAGCTGATGGGTCTGCCCATTGGTGGAAAAATTGGTTTCCTGCTACACAAACATGGATCCAGAATCGCCTCGCTGCAGACGCCAGGGGTATGCAAAGCCCCCAATCGTCTCCGACATCACATTCGTCTGAGACACAAAATGATGTTAGTATTTCCAACTCCGTCCGAAAGCGGAAGCGCGGTGTTTATCCATGAGAGTCGACTTTGATAATTCGTGCATGTTGCCAATACGTTGGCCAGTTAATAGCAAACTTTTCTACATGAGCTTTTTTGCCATGTCAACTTGACTACTCCCCAAAAATGTGGAGTAGTTGTGTGTGTGAACCGCTGAGATCAAAGGGAGCTGTTTCTGGTTGAAAATAAGCACGGGGCCTGAGGCTCACAGACAGGACTCAGGCCAACGAAGACGCCTGTCTGCTGAGTGTGATATGATCCTGGGACGCTGGGATCACGTACCTGCAAGTGATCATGGCAAGGGGCTAAGCCAAGAACCCCAATAAGATTCCTGAAGATTCCTGCAGCAACAATCTAGCTACTCCCCCCCATGGAGTTTGCAAAAGTGTGTGTGTGTGTGTGTGTGTGTGTGTGTGCGTGGGTGTGTGTGTGTGTGTGTGTGTGTGGGTGGGTGGGTGGGTGGGTGGGTGGGTGGGTGGGTGGGTGTGTGGGTGTGTGGGTGTGTGGGTGTGTGGGTGCGTGTGCGTGTGCGTGTGCGTGTGCGTGTGCGTGTGTGTGTGTGTGCGTGTGTGTGTCTGTGTTTGTGTGTGTTTGTGTGTGTGTGTGTGTGCGTGTGTGCGTGTGTGTGAACGTAATTAATTACATGCTCGGACATGGTCGCTTGGGTCACACCATATATACGGCGCAAGACAAACACCAACAACTCTTGCCTGCCCAACGTCGTGGAACAGCAAACGACGCTTTGCTGTCCCTGCAAAATCCCGTCCCTGTGCCAAGAAACTAGCTGACTGTACATGTCTGAGTGCGAAAGGTTATAAGTTATAAGACTAATCAGTGACAGGGCTTTGACATCATATTTTCGAAACAAGCAGAAGGTGCACCTCAGCCCAAAACGTTTTGCATTCACAAAGGTTGCCGCCCGATAAGGTGCAGCATATAGCGCAGGGAACAGTATGATGCGATCAGCCCGTGTCGGCGCTCCCTGGGGCAGTCGGTACACATGTCGACCTGATGTTAAGCTGTTTGAATGATGCTTGACCGGTGCCGAACACCAACTACTCCGTGAATGTTCAGCGGTGCCGATCATGTTCTGCTTGAATCCCCCGGACAGGACCATCCGGGGAGTGCAACTAGCGCAACTTCGTAACCGCTGCAACAACATCCAAGAATCCTCGTCGGGACCTGTTACAGTGGGCATTACTGGGCGGGGCATGGTACTGGCATGTACAGTCAGGCATGAACTCAGGTCTAGAGTTTTGCTTGAATGACTGGTTGGTTGATTGCTGAACTGACGCTCCGAACTGACAAGCAACTTTGCTTCCTTTCATTGCAGGCTTAGGCCGGAAGTTCCGTCCTATGGCCACTTGACCAACGTGCGGAAACATCGGTCAACCAAGCACAGAAGCAATGCTTGACAAAAGAAACTGCTTGCTTGAAATTAGCGCCGTTGACATTGCTGAGGAAAATACTGCTAACGTTGAGCAATGCGGGCTTAACCAAGCCCCCATAAGTCGTGAACTCAAACAATAAGCACGGCGTCCTCGTCATCATCGTCGGCATCGTCTTCCGAGTCCTCATCCGACGTTGCCTCCTCTGCGTCATTCCGCGGAGTCGCCTTGCGGGGCAGCCATCGTCACGACACATCTCGTGCTCGGGTCCTCGGGTCCCCAGGCTGCCTTTTACGCAACGTTCCGTTGCCCATCTTGTGGCAATTACAAGGAGGTCCGACGGTCTCGACACCTTGCACCCTACAGCCAGCACCTCTGCAGACACGAGGGAAGTACAATCCGCATCTTCCGCTTCTTCAGTCGCATCGTCGGAGGCCTTGGACGCCATGTGTAACTCCAAAACCCAATGCTTGAACAAAGAGTGTTAAGACGGAATGTAGGAGCAGGAGCTATAATAGCTATAAAAATATCAGTCGCAGATACTTCAGTAGTCGTACTTTCGTCGACTTCGTCGTAGCAGCAGAGTAGTAGTAGTAGTAGTAGTAGTAGTAGTAGTAGTAGTAGTAGTAGTAGTAGTAGTAGTAGTAGTAGTAGTAGTAGTAGTAGTAGTAGTAGTAGTTAGTAGTAGTCGTCGTCGTCGTAGTAGTAGTAGTAGTCGTGGTAGTAGCAGTAGTAGCAGCAGCAGCAGCAGCAGCCGCAGTAGCAGCAGTCGCAGTAGCAGTCGCAGTCGCAGTGGCAGTGGAGTAGCAGGGGGAGGAGAAGTAGAAGTAGGTAAGTAGGTACGGAGTAGTGGTGGTAGTAGTAGCTGGGGACCAGTAGGAGTAGAAGCATCAGTTGCTGCCAGCAGTGGTAGCAGGAACAGCAGCAAACAACTTGTGTTTGTTCCCAGGAGCAATATGGTTGGGTTTCAGTCTCGGAGAAAGGAGCCCCAACATGTTTCGATTTTCGGCCGAAAGCGAGAATATCGACGTGAAGGTGGAATTCAAGGCAGAACTAGTGCAAGTGAAGGCGGACATGACGGAAATGAAGGCGGAGATGATGGACATGCAGGCATTATACAGGAATCTGGCAATACTCGATACAACCACGGAAGCAACAACAGAATGAAGCTGCACGGCAATCAACACGGGAATGGAGCCGCAAATGCCGGAAGAAAACGATACAATCAAAGGAATGAAAACGGGCACGACGCCGGAAATGAACTGCGACGACGACTGCTACTGCTGGTGCTAGTTCTAGTGCTACTAGTACCAGTGCTAGTACCTCGATCACTTCTACCACTACCACTACCGCTACCACCACTACTACGAACTACTACTGCTACTCCTGCCACCACTACGTGTACAACAACAACTACTACTACTACTACTACTCCTACTCCTACTCCTACTCCTACTCCTACTCCTACTCCTACTCCTACTCCTACTCCTACTCCTACTCCTGCTGCTGCTGCTGCTGCTGCTACTGCTACTGCTACTGCTACTGCTACTGCTACTGCTACTGCTACTGCTACTGCTGCTGCTGCTGCTGCTGCTGCTGCTGCTACTGCCACTGCTACGCTACTGCTGCTGCTACTGCTACGACTACTGCTTCTGCTGCTGCTGCTACTACTACTACTACTACCACTACTACTGCTACTATTGCTACTGCTGCTACTGCTACTACCACTACCAGCACCACGACTGCCGCTACTCTTACTCTTGGAGCCACTGCTGCGGTACTGTTGCCACCGTTTCGTGCTATCATCCTCGCCACTAGATAATGTTGCATTGTCTTCGGTGTGCGTGCTCTGCTTTGGTCTCTGCGTATGCAAACAACAGCACTGCCACTCGGCTGCCAACTCAGTATCTGTCAATCGAGCTTCCGGTGCTTCCAGAGCAGCACCAAGATCACCCGTACAGAAACCTGCACGTACTGTCCCTGAAACCAACTCACTACAAGCATCCCTACAGCCTCTCCGAAATGCAGGCGCTGTAACATTAGTGCAACTGGCCTTCTGTTTATGTCATACTAGGATATGTGTAGGGTTGCAGAGCGTGAAGTGTTCAGGAGCTTGCCAGACCCACGGCTTTCCAAAGTTCGACCCACAACACCCAAGCCCGAGGCAAACCAAACCTCGGGGCTGTTGAAGGTGGTGCGCGGGCGGGAGACCTGCGTGTCCTTGGCATAAACATAGGACACGCAAACGAAGGTAGCAGGCATAGTGGCAGAGCGTGCTTGATCACGGTAGGAAACGAGCCGTGGCAGCAGAAGTAGACCAATACTTAGTGCAGCCGGAAGAAGCAAAATGAACCGTAGAGTACGAGCTGGAAGCACTGCTTGAAGACTTTTCGTTAGTAGCAGTCGCAGATGGTGATAGCAGAAATGGTAAGTCGTACAAGCAGGAAGCTTTGACTAGTAACTGGTAAGGAGCCTCCGGCTCCTCCTGCCACTACTTGTACGATAGATGCTACTGCTGCAGCAACAACATAAGGATAATAGTAAGTGTAAAAATGATGCTAGTGCTACTGCTACAACAACAGCAGCGACAACTATTGCAACAACTGCTGCTGCTGTTGCGGATGCTGGTACTGCTGCTGCTGCTGCTGCTGCTGCTGCTGCTGCTGCTGCTGCTGCTGCTGCTGCTGCTGCTAGTACTAGTACTAGTACTACCACCAGCTACTTCTCCCACTACGATGACGGCAACTTCTGCTGCTGCTATGCTATTGCTACTTCAAACACTTCTGCGGCTTCTGTCACTGTTATGGCGACGACTAGCGCAGCTACTCCTACCCCTACTACCACCACTACCATAACCACCGCCATCGTTTACGAAGACCACAACGATTAATGCAGTAGGCTCGTCCGAGGGTTGCATCGAGTCATACCAACGTTCACGAACTCCAAGCAACCCATCGCGAGGCCGACGAATGACGAAGTGGTTGTTGGACGTCCAGGTGCATCGTGGTCTAGAGCATCGGTCTATGAATCAATCGCCTTCTTCAACTCTGCCCGGTTAAGCACGGCAAGCTGCTCGGGTTGTATATTTCAAGCGCTGAGCGCATTCCATAACGTCTTCTGTGAAACGAGATAAGCTGCCATGAACTAGACGCCGATGTCTTGGTGTCTGGGAAATTTGCGTTCGGTCTCCGCTCCATCTGCTCCTCCGCTATGTGATGTTAAACGATGTTCTGCCAACCTCTGGACACCCAGAACCTGCGACAACTTTCCGACTGCTTCAGCAAGGGATGAAGCATTCGCTGCTGTGCAGTCTTTGGGGCTCCGAAAGTGGGGGTGCAGGATCGAGGATACAATATAATCCCTTGCCCTACGCAGTCGAGACACCATCCCAATCGAAGGCCATGATTCAACAAGGACTTGATAATGATGCCTTCGGAAAGCTGTAAACCCAGCTTGATCACGCATGCAGCTCGAACAAAGCATCACGAGCTGTGTATGGCTGGTGCTCCGCATGAGGCTGGAGTCGTAGCAATTAGTCCGCAATGAACATGACACGTTTGCAATCACCTCCACCCTTGAAGTGGCGTAATGCTTTCGTGCGCTTTGTGTTTTGCGGTTTCGGTTCCGGTATCGGAACAGAGCGGTGGACCACCGTCTTGTCGGTAGATCATTGAAGTTCCGACAAAGAGGCCAAGTGGATACAGTGCCCCAGAAGTGCTTCCAGTTTGCCTGGAAGCACTACTCAGGGCAGCCTCAGCAAGTTGTAGAGGTAAGCCAAGCGCGCCTTCACAACAACTGCTGTCGTTTAGCACGCTGCTCCAGCTGTGGCGAAACGCCCACAACGCCATAAAGGCATGCTCATGCACTGTGTGAACATGTGCGAAGGCACCGCCTTCTCAACGTAAGAACAGAGCAAGTCGCACGCTTGGTAATGGTGCGGATGTTTCTGAGCATCGGAGGAATTCTCGTAATAACAACATCCTGTTCATGTCAAAGCAGGGCAGGATTTCACCGCAGCAACACCTAGCACTGCTTTAGCGCTTGCATAGTGAAACAGGGCACTAATGGCAATGGAAAAGCGGCTGTAACGAGTCTGTGACAAACACTGCATCAACCAAGGAGCATCAGACTCCTCGCTCATTGTCTTTGTCAGGAGTTCCCCGGGCCTTGAACAACTGTCAGGTGCAAGCTTCGGGAGCTTGTAATTCATGAAGGATGGCATCAGTCGGCCATTTCGGTTGTAGGGTTGTTGGGCTGGGACAGTTGAATCTTGTGGGTGCGCATTGGCACCTGGACGTCAGCTGATTCCTTGGCCACAAGCATAGGTTATGTATTCCGACATACCTACATTCGAACATAATCACATGCATCGCGGGCCAGATGGCTCGCAAGCAAGCTCGCGCAACAAACGCAAACGAACACAAAATATGCGATCGCGAATGCATGCACATGGTGGACGGTCCTGCGAACATGCACCAGTGATCACCATTGCACTGACTGCGTCCACACAAACACTTAGACATGTGCACAACCAAGCCAATAAGCAGACACTGCAAGAACCGAGCAGTATAAAACAACAAGACATACACAAATACCCCAGGACATACGAAACAAATGAGCAATCGTGCTAGCCATTTACGAGATACTGAAGTTTTTTCCATGGGCTTGCAGTCATCCATGAGCACCCTCGAAATTCAGGAGTCTCCAGGCACGGGTGCAACACAGATACAATCTGACGCTGCTTGATACTAGCCCTGTACTAGGGATGCATTGCAGCAAAGCATGATGCCAAGTGCCAAGAGATTTTACGCACCACACTTCATGACGTTGCCCTGCACTGCGCCCCGTGCTGGTATTGCCCCGACTTCTCCTTGACATCTGGTGGCCGCACGACCTTCAGCCATGGCTTTAGCCTTAATGATGTCAGGGTTTCAGCTTTGGTGCTAGCTTCGATTTCAAAATTCGTGAAGCAACGCCTGCCCAGGTCCAGAGCAATACTCTAGCGATGCCTCGACCCCCTGAGGCACGGATGCAGCTGCGTAGCGATTAACGATAAAAAACCGGACCTTCGCCGTCTGTTGAGGCAAAGCAGGCCGAACCCCCAAGCCTTTGACAGCTGGTTCAGTTTTGACTCTGGGGGAGTCACGTCCCACGAGTATTGAGGTTCCAGTGTCTTCAGTTTGCGTAGGAGTTTCGAGATGGAAACGCGGCCACTCCGCGAAGCTTCAACCACAAACTCAATCATGCATGTGACAAACGCATATGCTCCCAAGGCAAGCTTTGGATCATACCTTCAAAGTTGTCTCCTGATCAGAGGCCAAATGTGCAAATCGAAAAGTCTAGCGCTGCGCGAGCAAATCCGAAGCATCCACATTCCGCTCTCAAGCTCAAGGCCTGCAGGAAAAACCTCTTCCGTTCCGGGCTGCCTGGTCGGCTAATGATCGCAGCAAGTTGAAGGCACCGCTAACCACGTCGGGGCCTCCACAATTCTGTTGGCACTGTAAAAGGTCAAAGCTTGAGGCAGTTTCTTAGGCTCAGATTCCCGGATTTTGAGCCATGGTAGGGAGGATCCCTGGAAGGAGGTAAATTCTCAAATGCATGCACCTTCTACTCGGACTGGCCACGCCTGTGTGGTGCGGCAAGCGCTTATTCGTCCTCAAGTTAATAAACGGCAATGACGATGCCCATATGGATTGCCAATCACATAATACATCATAACACCTTCGGCAGCAACGTAGCCGTCAAAATCCTTACGAAGCAACACCAACATAGGGATGAAGTTGACACAGTCATCATAACTATGGTAACATGGTCAGTAGCAGCAACCGCCGCAGCAACAATGACGTCATCTTCGGTGACAGTATCACCCAAAGCGCTACTAGCAGGATCCTCATCAGCATCCCAATCTTCACCAACCTTACCATCGCCAATTATCACTGCCTGTGTTGTTCACATCGCGAATGCAGCATCTCCAGGCATCTCAGCATCATCTTCACAACCACCGCCCTCATGCTGATTATCGGCATCCGTCGACATGAGCGACGTTTAGACTCAATATTGCGCCGGCCCAAATTCTGAGCCTGCCTGCTCTCATTGACACTTGGGTACAGACACTGAAACATGATGACCCTGCTTACAATCGCCGACGTCTTGACGATGTTACAAGGAAAGTTCAGGTGTTTCTCTGAGTATGACATGGCTCTTGCGGTTTTCCCTTGCGGCTGCTGATGCAGTTCAACAGCTGCTGCAAGTACACTGGTGCCAGGTCGGATGCTGGTGCTGGAGGCTCCAAACTGAAACGGCGATTTTTCTTCTTCTGCTGATCTGTCTGTCTGATCCCGTATTTATGAAGCAGATGGCTGGTCGATCGGCTTGACCTTGTTGCTATCTGCATCTTCGCTTCGACATGAATGTTCAATGTTGTAGTCAGCTGCTATTGGTGCAGGCCTCGGTGACATCCATGTTTCGGAGTTCAGCTTGATTTATTGCAGTGTCGGCTGCATCGGGCAATGTTGACACTACAGGTAATGATCAGAATCACAGACACATCCCACCAAATGACCAGCTTTTGCTCCTGGACACAAGCGAGACCCCTGCCTCCATGCAAGTACAACACCTGAAAAAAAGACCTTGCGGCACATTTTGCGCTCCGCCATGAAGAGATCTCACTGTGTCACTGTACTACAGCGCTTTGATGTTCGGTGACAGCGTAGAATCCGGCTGCCGAGTCAGAACACCTGTCAAATCACAACTTGCCATTGGCTGCGGTGGCTGAATGAAGGCTTTGACGGCAATTGCTCAGGTAGGCGTGTGCAAACCAGCTTCATCGTTCAGATTCTGCAGATGAACTGTTTCATGTAGTTGTTCATCGCAGAAATCGTAATCTTGCGATAGTTCTACCCCACATACGTAGCCAAGGCTCATTCCGTACATTCGCGGATTGCTGCGTAATAGCGGGTCGGATGAGAACATGCACTCCTGTGTGTGTGTGTGTAAACAAAATGACACCACAAATTTATCACGACCAGACCCCCGATCCAGGAGAAGCACCCTTCTGCTGCTCAAGATGGACTGTGGTGGGAAGAGGTATCTAACCCCTACAGTGTACTACCCACACTCTTATACGATGTATTCGGCGTCTCCCGGAGACAGGGCCCGAGTGGGCCTGCAGAGTGAACCAAGTCCCCTTTACACCTAGTGGGCCAATATAAGAACTCCATGTTCCCACACTGTCAGGTGAAGCACCAGCACCACCACCAGCACCACCACCGGCCTGCGTCCAGCCTTCATCGAGAAAACTCACGAAGTCAGGGGCTCCACTGAAATGGGCATCTCGAACGCAAAGCCACATGACCGAATAGACTTCGATCATACACATGTCACGGGCCCTATAGGTCCCTACAGGGTTCTATCATTCAAAGCATTCTGAAGCATATCTGCGGCATTCTTCCGTTCTCAAAGCGGACAGTTGGCATTGGACTACGCTGGCAGCGTCTCATGCCGTGCACTCCACGAGCTGCCGACTTCCCGAATCCCCAAAATAAAGTCTACAAACTCTAGACTGCCCCGCAGTTGACTTGCCCACACTTGATGAAATGAACCCTTCGCCTTACCCGTGATGGAAAAAAGACCTGTTACTTGGTTTCACAAGCCTCCATGGTCTAAAGAGGACCCCGACAAATCATTCTCGAACCGAAGAACCTGCCTTACCACATTCCGTGCTAAACTTCACAGGCCTCTGTACTTGTAGATGACCGACGGCTTGTCCAAGTCCGTAACAGACTCACCGTCCAGGCGAGGAAAAATCTCCTGAAAGGACAATGATCGAACTGCATGAGATTGCAACAGCATCATCGCCAGCCTTCGTAGCAAAACTGTCGCGAATTCAACTAGATGTTTTCAGAATTTCCAGCACAAGCACGTGCATCGAATCTGAGGAGAAACGCAAGCATCGCAACACTGCAGCAGCGTATCCAAGCGCTGTAAGACCAATATTTCTGAGTCGTTGGTCTTCTTGAACCTTAGCTGTACAGCCTGCCACGACTCTTCAGAAGCATGGAGCCTGAAGAGCCTCAAGCCTTACACCGTCAACACATTCACTCCCAGCATCACTGTCGCGATCCGACACGAAGGAAGTCCCAATGCGCGGCATCGCAAAATAAGGGCAGCATGGAAGGCTTGAGACTAGCATTCACCCAGCAAACAGAATAGGGACTTAAGCCATCTAGAGGCTGACGCGTTGCCCGGCCCCACCAGCCACCACCCTCTTCCGGCCCTCCCGATTGCTGCCATGCGGAGCATCCTAGCCCCTTCGACCGTGCTCGGGCTTGACACGTTCTTCGCACGTCTGCGTCTGCCTGCCGCATTAAGATACAACATCGAAGAGCCCGAGAAGAGCAGACTTAAGCCCCGAACCACACCACGCCAAAAGGGAGTTGCGGAGGAGAGCCCACCAAGCATGATGCTGATGGTGATGAAGATGAAGAAGCTGCTGATGATGATGGTGATGATGATGGTGCTGGCGATAATGGTGCTGATGGCGATGATGATGACGGTGGCGGTGGTTGTTATTGTTATTGTCAGTTATTGCTAGTGTACTGTTACTGCGGTTGCTGTTGTTGTTGTTGCTGCTGTTGTTGCTGTTGTTGAAAAACACTAAGACGTGCTGGGACTTTTGATCCGCAAGGGCTGTGGGAATCTCGGTTAATCCATGTCTGCTGCATGCGCTGAGTGGGCTCTGAACTGCTTTACACGCCCCCTCAGGCATGGATTTCTACGGTCGATTTTCGACCATCTCCAAGCGACCCGCGGTGCAGCACTGTCCGGGCTGCAAGCCGCGTTCAATCGCTTCTTGCAAGGTGCAGCGCCGTACGGTCTTGGCACTGCCCTGCACATTCCTGCACGAAGGCAGGTGAAACGCATATCCCCTCGAGGGCGCATAGACCACATTGTCGTAGCGCCACATCACCAGGGCCTCACCATTGGGGTCCAAAGGGTCCTGTCGAGCGCCCTTTGCCAGCACGAGTCGCCCTCTGGGTCGCCTGGGAACTGTTGTCACTGCCTCTGCAGCCGGTCGCACAGGGTTCGCACCTGTGCCCAGGAACTGGAGAGACCCGTCGCCATTGTGTGCCATCGGTCCTGACCCTCCGGTGGCTGTAGAACTGCTCGGTTCCCCTTGTACGACTTCACGACTGTGCCTCTGTTCTGACCTCTGTGGCCCATGATCTGCTCGATGTGGTCCGTGATCTGCTCGATGTGGTCCGTGATCTGCTCGATGTGGTTCGTGATCTGCTCCTTGATGTGGTTCGTGATCTGCTCCTTGATGTGGTTCGTGATCTGCTTCTCGTTGTCCGCTACCTCCTGTTTGTGCGTTGCCAGCTGGTCCCCGTGGGCTGCTTGATGGTCCCCGTGGGCTGCTTGTTGGTCCTCGTCTGCTTGTGCTCTGTGCCTTGGCCTTGGGTCGGGATCCACACGACATCACCGTAGCCGACTCAAGCCCCGAATGCCGTGTCACCTCGACCTTGATCACAAGGGGCCTTCCCCAGGTTCCATAGCACAGCCCGACTGCCACCAACAACACAGCGACCAATCCAAGCGCGGCGGGGTACTCCAGCAGGACACCATTGAGCACCTCAAGAGCGAGCAGCAGCTTCAGAAAGAACTGCTCGACAAAGTCGTTCGTGGCCTGCCCGCTGCCCTCAACAGCGGCACACCCTTGAAGCTGCATGGCCAGCACCATCTGCGCAAGCCGAAGCACGCTTGCATGTTGGCCTCCTCGTCGTGCTCGCCGTTCTTGGTGCTCTTCTTCTCCAATCCTCTGGCCATTGTCGCCGACCATCCCGAGGATGAACAGTAGCAGGGCCATCCGGCGTGCCGTGAGCACTTTGGTGCCGAGGTCAGCGGGGTTGATCTCGGTCGGGATGGCGGAGATCTTCAGCTCCTTCCTTGCCACCCAACCTTGGAGCCAAAGGCATGAGGTCGAGAGGTGCTTGACCTTGCCGATCCCATTGCGAGATGCAATGGCTCGGGCCACTGAGCTGTCGGTGCGGGCCGTCAGGTCAACATCCTCAGGTCGGCGCCCCAGCAGGAACGCGACCGCCTTCCGCACCAACACGGCCTCGCCAACCGTCTGCGTCAGCGCCACCAGCTCGGCCTCGCCAGAGCTCGTCGTGACCACCTTCTGTGCCCTGACGAAGGAGTAGACCAGGGCGCCGTCGTAGTACACCTGGCCTGAACTCAAGCTCCTTCGCGTCTCGTGGCTGTTGGCGAAGTTCGAGTCCGATATCGCCTCGACCACGGGCTTCGCAGCTGGGTCTTTGTGCCCGCTCCTCGGAGGCGCCCCCTCAGACCGCAGTATCGAGCTACCGGTGTGCACTCGCAGGTTGATCCCGTAGCCCTGCGTTGCCCAAAGGTACCCGCAAAGGTGGCAAAGCACTCTCATTGAGGTCTTGGTGGGGCTGCTGGCCTTGGACTGTATCACCACCTGCGCGTCCGGCCTTTCTCCACTGATATACAACAGCTTCCCCACAACGGTGCGGTACTTTGTGGCCTCTGGGTTCGAAAGCTCGTCGCTATCGTCCTTGTGGAACATGAGCTCGGTAGGGCCCGGGGTTGACCTGGTCTTCGGTCTGTCGGTCAGCTCCCACACGTCGTAGTAGAACCGGATAGCTGGCCGAACGGTGATGCTGAGGTCGCTCTCGATGCGGTACCTCCTCTTGAGAAACTCGAACTCATCCCCAGGGTTCTGGTAGGGGCCGGCGATCTTCACCGTGTACTTGCTCGAAAGGTCCTTGTGGAGCGGCTGGATCACCTCGTCGTCCCCAGTGGACATCATATCATCCACGTGGAGCTGTCCCCCAAAGCGGCCTTCCAGGGAGCGGTACAAAGTGGGAACCTCAATCATGGGCTCCAGGGCGTTCTTGGTGAGGTCGTCGTTGAACTTGTTGTACCACTCCTGGGCGCCGCGCCTCTGGCCGGGGAGGACCTTGCCCAACTTCCACGTTTTGTGCTCGCCGTGCTTCTTGAACCAAGACGCTGGCGAGCTGATTGTCACGGGCTCGTCTTCCGGCTGGTCGACCGTCAAGTAGGCGTCCTTACGTCTAGGACGTATATCGGGGTGCCCCAGGTGAGCGCCATAAGTGGCACCATTCTCCCGAGAGGCGCCACGGATGCGGGAGCAAAGGTCTCATCATCCTGCATGTGGCTGGCCCACCGGTATTGCCTGGCAACGAGACGTGCTCGGCGGAACCATCCTTGAGGCCCAAGCTTCCAGACCTTCACAAAGATCGTGGAGAGGTGCTCCGGCCGGCTCGTCGGTGACTTCCTTCAGAACCCCAATCTTCTCGAGCCTGGCCACCTCTTCCAACCAGCCTCGGCGTCAAGCTGTTCCAGGTCCTCCTCGGAGACCTCCGGCGGGAAGTCGCTGAACTTGTTGTTGTTGTCCTTGGCGGCGTCGTTGCTGAACGCGTCCCCGCCTATCACCTCCCACTCGGTTTCCTCGGGGCCCGCCGGGACCTCCATGTCCGCAGCCTCGTGCCACTGCGCGTCCACGGTCTCCACCAGCCTGATGGCATGACTGGGCTCACTCTCCTCCTTCTCTGGGGTTGGGCTGGGCTTCCGCTTTGTTCCAGTTCCTGGTTCCCCCAGGGTTCTCCCTCGGGCTCTCGAACTGGCGGCTGCTTGCTCGGCCGCTTTCCGCTTAAGCCCGGTTGGGCTTGCATCCGCTGCCGCCAGCAACTCATCTTCAGAGCTGCTGCTGCTGCTGCTTTCTGGGTCGCTCCCGGCCTCGTCCTGCTGTGCTCCTATGGCAGGTCCAGCGGGCCTTGGCGTATTCGGCTCGGCCCGTTCTGGTGCAGGGGTGGCCGGCGCTTGCGACAAGCCTCCGGGTGTTGCTGGTGTGGGTGGTGCCAACAAAGAAGCAGGGTCTTCTTGCATGAGGACCGCCGGCATGGCTGTGGGCGCTGTCCTCCTCTTTGCCTGCCGCTTCTTCTCCACCACACCGTGCTCCCAAGGCAGCCCAAACATCTCGGCATCAATCTCCTCAGCTTTGAGTTGTAGGTGGCTGGCTGCTCGGCGAACGGCGTTGCACTCAAGGTGGCCGACCGCACTCATGATACGGTGCGCCCCACTGTGCGGGTTGATCCCGCACCAAACGCCCTTTATCCATTGCGCCTCGCCCTTGTACTTCCGCACGACTCGGCCGTAGACCGTCTCCCCAAACTCGCAGAGGCGCTGGTCGAACTGCTTCCCGCCGTGCGCCAGCTCGAAAGGAGTCTTGCTGATGCCCGGGAGCAGGTGGAACCTGTTGTAAACAAAGGCTGCGTGTCCCTGTACCCAGACCCTTACATGGCTGCCGACCTTCAGCTTCCCAGCTCGTTCTTCGAAGGCTTCCGCGAAACAGTTCCCAAGACGCCGGACTGTTTGTATGGCGCGCTCTGCGCCCCCATTGGACGCGTGTGCAGCAACTGGTGTCGTGCGCTGCACCGTCTTCTTGTTGAGGCGCTGTCTCGCTGCCGCTGTTGCCCGGACCACTGCCTTGATGGCGGGCTCGCCGTCGGACTGAATGATGACGGTGTCCTCGGCATGGAGGCTCACGGTAAATCTCGTGAGCTCCTCGGCGGCTCGCCTCAGCATACTCGGCCCTTTTTCGGGGCCTGGAACTGAGAGCACCATCTTCGTCTCCAGGTCCACGCCAATCATATTGGTAGCCTCCTGGAAAGCCTCAGGGCCCGGCCGCGACTCGGGGTCCACCTTGGTGTAGTAGAAGTCGACCTGCACCACGGGTACACTGTGGTCTTGGTTGGCTCGGCGGTGGTGGTCATCTCGGCTGCGCGTCTTCACACAGGCTGGGCACCACGAAGCAAACGGTACGTGGGTCAAACGGTGCCGGGCCTGGGCTTCATCATCTGGAGGCTCGTCGGGCTGTCGCAGGCCAGCCGGCTCCCGGACCAAATCGTCCTCAACCGCCTTCAACATAGGCTTCGAGCTCCTCCTGCGTAAGCCCTGCCGGCGGTGCGCCCATCTCCTCGTCCTCCACGGGGTCCTGGGTGCCCGGCTCCACGTCCTCTCGTGCCGGCTCTTCCCGCTGGGCCTGGCTCGCACTCGCTGGCCCTTGGGACGAGCTTGCTCCTGGGCCGGCCTCCTCCACAGGAGAGGCTTCGTACAGCAACCTGTCGGAAGGTTTCGGTTCGAGGCCGCCGGGAAAACTGGCAGAGCTGAACGGTGTCATGCTGAACAAAGTCACCCGGGCTACAGGGTAGATGGACACGGTGCCGTAGGGGTTGGCCTCATAGGTATAGTCGGCGCTGTTCTCCACTTGCAACCACTTCCCGCTCGCAGTCTGCAGAAAAGTGGTCCGGCAGCACCAGTAGTCCCCATCGAACCACTCGCGTCCATCAAGAAGCTGTTTGGCCTCCTTGCTGTAGTGCATCCGCCAGCCGTTCTCAAGAGTGTGCATGCCCTCGGTGCCCACGTGCTCCTGCACACCTTCGGGGGCAAAGTCCGCGGGACCTCGGTGAGGGCCCGAATGTGGCCTCGTACCACCAGGCTGTGGTTCTTGTACCCCACTGGGGTTTTCCTTCCAAAAGGCTCCTCCAAGTGCAGGTGCCCAGGTCCTCCTGGCGAAGTAAGTTGCCAGCCTTTTCTCAGAAGTTTTCCCACGGCCAGCAAAGGAGAGCGCACCGGGCCAACCACACACGTTTCCCGGATGAGGTACTGCTGGCCGTTGGTGTCCTCAAGAAGGAACTCGTACTTCTTCATCCCCCGGCTGGCGATGGAGTTCCCCTGGGCATCGGTAAGGTGAGGGACGCGGTCGTTGGCATCCTGGCCCAGGTGTCGCAGGGACTCTGGCACCATAGAGGCGTCAGCCCCGGAGTCCAAAATGATCTCCCAAGGCTCGCCCTCATCGAACCCGTTCTGCTGGGCAACCTTCCCTTTGTACTTCAGGTAGGTCACGGCCCGGACCGCGCACTCGCAGGGCTCCTCTATCTCACCATCCGACATCTCATAGACCTCTAGGATGGGGGCAGACGGAGGAGTGATCATCCTCACAAGTCGCACGGCTCGGCCATTTCCAGCGGTAGGTGCCGTAGACGCCGACGGCGTAGTGGTAGTAGTCGCCGCCGATGTGGTAGAACCCGCGTTGCTCGCCGTCTCGGTCTCCTGCACCTGGTTCACCTTCTGGCCGCCGCGCCCTTTGCCTTTGTGCCAACAGTCTCTGGAGTAGTGGCCCTTCTTGCCACAGTTCCAGCACTCGGCTGCTGCGGCCTTTCCTTTGCCCTTGCCCTTCTGCTTGCCCTTTCCCTTGGGCTGTTGCTGGCCCTTCTGGGCCGTCCCTTTGCCGTCCTTCTTCTTGCCCTTGCCCTTGCCCTTGTCCTGCACGCGGTCCACCTCCATGGGGGCAGGGCCGCTCGAGGAGGAACTCAAGGAGGGCATTGCCAGCGGAGTGGCGGTGTGCCACTTGGCCGTGGAGCGCTCGTACAGGAGGATTTTCTCACGCACTGAAACATAGGTGGTCGAAGGCCCCAAGCTCATGCGCAGCTGTGCTTGTAGCGCCGGCGGCGCGGCTGCAATAAGAGTGCTCACCTTGAGGTCCTCCGAAAACTTTCCTCCCGACACGCGCTCATATTCTCGAACAAGTTCATCGTATCTGCCAAGTTGCTCGCCCAGAGACTTGGTGCCGTCCAGCCGGGTGGAGGTGAGTTGCGTGATAAGCGCAAGTTGTCTCTGGCGGCTGGAGGGCATCATCTCCAAAGTCAAAACTCTCCAAGCCTCGTAGCCGTTGCTCTGGGGGACCGCCCGGACCAACTTTGCCGGCCTGTTCCTCACGAACGACAGCAATATTGCATATAGTTCGCGTGAGCGAACCTGCGTGGCCGGCTCCATGTTCACCATCGCCTTCTTCGAGTTCGCCGTTGCTTCGAGCTTCTCGATTTCTACCGCAAACTGGGCGTCTACCACGCCAAGGTAGGACACAAAGGCGAACCTCCAGTCCATCCACTGCTCTGTCTCCTGGTCTCGTGTCTCAGGGCGGTAGAGGTCGGGCTTCTGCACCAGCCTGATAAGCTGGTCGTGGCGTCGCTGCAGGCTGGCTGCCACAGCCACCTGCTCAGCAGCAATAGCTGCCGCTCTCTCCGCAGTCTCGTCGACCACGGGCCCAGCTGCCATTCCATCTTGCATGGTTGCTTCCTCCACCTCGGCCTCCGGCACGGCGCCCGCAGAAGGCTGCGCCATTGGTGCGGGGCAGAAAGCCCTGGCACCAACGCTCCAGTCCTCAAAGGGTAGCCCTCGATGCCAGCGACCAACGCCAACGAGGAAGACAGCCAACCTAGGTCCAACCCAGGCGGCGCTTGTTGGGCAGTCCTGGGGCCAAACAGCAAAGAAGAAAACGGAGGGGCGGAGTGGCAGCTTTGGGGATTGGGTCCGGTCCCCGAGCGGTATCACAAAGGATTCACCGCTCTGGAGCGCAATGGCTCCGCTACCATGAAAAACACTAAGACGTGCTGGGACTTTTGATCCGCAAGGGCTGTGGGAATCTCGGTTAATCCATGTCTGCTGCATGCGCTGAGTGGGCTCTGAACTGCTTTACAGTTGTTGATGTTGATGTTGATGTTGATGTTGTTGTTGTTGTTGTTGTTGGTGGTGGTGGTGGTGGTGTTGGTGGTGGTGGTGGTGGTGGTGGTGGTGGTGGTGGTGGTGTTGGTGGTGTTGGTATTGTTGTTGTTATTGTTCTTGTTATTGTTATTGTTCTTGTTGCTGTTGTTACTGCTGTTGCTGTTGCTGTTGCTGTTGCCGTTGAGGTTGCCGTTGCCGTTGTCGTTGTTGTTGTTGTTGTTGTTGTTGTTGTTGTTGTTCATTATGATGATACCGCAACCGCCAAGCAAAAACAAGCCTCGCACCGCACCATACCCCGCCGCACCGCATGACAGGTGGCGGGTGCGGAGGGGAAGGGAGAGTTGTGAGATACTATGCCGCCCCGTTTGTCTGGCACTTCTGCACAACCAATAGCTGCCGTGGAAGCAAGGTCAGTACAGCATCGCCCCTTCGTTGGACAGGCAACTTCACTTCGCTACTCACACCCACTGAGGGAGGGAGATGGAGGGCGGGTGGCGTTTCGAACTCTTCCTGGCGCACACTGTGCCACATGCGCGTTTGTGCGTGCGCGCGCATATTTTCGAGGTATTGACGAGTGCAGGCACTTCCATTTTGCTTGGATTTTGACATCACTGTCGAATCTCAAAGCAGGCAACGATCATCGAGATGGGATTGCTTCGGACTGAAATCTGCGAACTGAAATCGTACCGTCACAGACATCGGCTGCTTGCCCTCGCGATCCTGTTCACTGGTTTAACTATTGTTGTTCTCGTATCCTGATTTCACCGCAGTGTAACAGCATCAACAGTCTCACACATGACACGGCGTAGTTTGGTGCCAGACACAAACCAGGTCACATCCGCTTGATTCTGGCCCCAGCCACATACTCTTCCAGGTTTACGACCGACTCTCCAATGCATGTCACAGTGGACATTTTCCCTCGCGACGAAGACTAAGATGTGGGCTCCAACAACAACTTTCAAGAGGAACGCAGCTGCGACAGCCGCAACTCCCGCAATGAGTCTATTCGCCACGACGAAGATGCAAGGGTCCAGAAACGACCAAGTGGATCGCGGCTTCGACGCATTTCGTGCCTGTAACAGTTGAAGTTTTCGCAACGAAGATGTCAGAATGATATCAGGAGCGACAGTGGTCGCGATGGTCCCATTTCCACTTCTCAATGGCTGGGATGATGTCATATGCCTGCAAAAGATACCTTCACGAGGATCGAAGCTCGAGCACCGCTTGACCAAAGCGGGCAGCACAAGCAAGTGATCAAGCATTACCTCACTTGGATGTGGTATTGCAAATGTATGATGCAGTGACGTAGTGTCCATGCACGGACACACCGCGGTGACAACGACCCGCAAAGACCACACCACTGGGTAGGTGGGAGCTGGACGTGGATACCCACGCAGGCTCCCATGGTTTTTGCTTGGGTTGCCGGGAGCGGGGAATGGGGCGACGAAAATCACAAGTTGTTGCAGAGTGATGTATGGTACAAACACTTTGCCGTGGGTTGACATGGCATCTTTAGCTGGGGTGCAGTTTCTGTGAAGTTCTGCCGCAAATGCAGTGCGGCTTTTCGGGTCGAGTTGCAAGTCTTCGGGTAACTGGCAGCAAACATGCAATCACGGCACTTGTTTACACACCGGATGGGCGTCACTTTGTCCCGACCGCTGTCACCCGCATCGCTGACTTCCTGCTCGGCTGCGCGCAGATAGGGCTGTCACTCTGGCTGAACCTCAAATGAGTTTCTGCGATTACATGGAATATTTGCATATTGCTTTGTACAGGTGTGGTTTATGGTAGACAATCACAGGAGCTACACCAATGATGCTGTACCAGTTCCGGGATGCAGTTTGAAACCAAACACTACAAGACAGAAGCACCAGATGTGCCATTTCGCTCACTACATACGCAGACATCGGGACAATGTCAGCCGTGAACTTGCTTTACTACAGTGTGAGTAGCCAACGATGCCACATGCTGCAAAGGGGCCTGCTGAGACCAGCTGAACTTGGGGACTATTCGCAAAACTGAAGATGGCTTCACTTCAGACTTTGGCAGGTTCCGCGGATTGTGAGAAAACCGCGTGATACCGATTGGCCTGAACGTAGACTTCACTGCTATTGAAGAGGTCATCGCGTCCTGCGGGCGGACGCCGTCGCAGCAAGGGCAATTGCAGCAAAGGCTCATTGCAAGCCTATAGGATTGTCCGTGCTGCAAATTCAACATCGACCAAGGCATCTGTTGCTAGGCTATCAATCCGTGATTCGGTTCGCACCTCCATTCGGTCTACATGCTATGGGACAGTCCTTCCGGAATTCCCACGGACCGCTTCTTGACCCGGGTCTCAGTTTTGACCGAGAGGCCGTCACGTTTGATGGTGACCTCAAGCACAGATACGCTGGCCGCAAGAATGCAAACTGCTGCCGTCTTATTCGTGTCAAGCGTCAACAGGAGCACGGCAACCGAGCAAATAGAGATTCTAGGTAATTCAAATTCTATACAATGGGTCAAGTATACATAGACCTCCCAAACATACGGTTGGAAATAACATACCGAAAAACAATGTAGCCCTCTAATTTGGGAGCCGCGACGCAGCAAGAACGTTGGGCTTTTTCGGATCCCACTCGACTGATTCAAACGCCCGGGGCCCGCCCCCGGAGCCGCGGATGTAGCCTCTTCACGTTCTGGGTCTGCGTTGGGGAAGTTTCAGGATGGGGTGTCAGCACATGAGATACCACAAGTATGTATAATTCAGATTCAGGGTCTAGAGAGTTGGCCGGAGCATCTCTACCTTAGGACTTCGTAGTTTCGGAAACACTCTTTTGGCTGCCGTCGAGTCTGTCGGACTCAACACCATAGCTACGAGCTCGGACACACCCAGTGTGAATTACAAACGGTGAAGACATCTTTCGTGTTGGATTTGTTTTGAGTGCTTTGGGACGGATACTGTGGCCCGGTGTGAAGCTGAGAACCGGGGCTGGAAACGGTTGATGCCATCAGGATGCCTGTAAACCCACGTGAAGTAGCCTATTATTAGGGATAGAGGGCGGTGCCTGAACAAAAACCTCACGGGGAAAACACCCCAGCTTCCAGGAAGACCGGCTGGCCTCGCATGTTGTAGGCCCGATCTGCCACGACCTGGCCTGATGCAATGTTCAGCTGCGGTTGCAACGATGTTCGGGCGGCTAAAAGTGTATGCCTATGTAACGTATGTATGGTCCCGATACATAACTGCGTATATGCATATGCTACCCACCTCCCCCTGTAAAATCCCACATGTAGAACACATATATAGTTGTTTGACATTTTCGTTCGTCACCGGGTACAAGCCCACCGTCCCAACTTGTCTATGGAATACTTCGCCTGCATGAGGGGCCACCCTAGAATTACGTGCTGGACAATGTTTAAGTTCAGGACTAAGAGCCACTATATTGAATCTTCCCATTCCTCACAGTGATAACGTAAGAACTGATTGCATGGTTGGAAATTTCGCCAACAAATCCTCACGTACTACTCCAGCGAACCAAACAGAAACAGCTCAGGACTCCTCTGCCGATGAGGAAAAAGTGTTTCTAGTTGCGGCCAGACAGAGAAAAACGTCAAATCTGAGACCTGAGCCCTGAGTTCTTAAGCCCTGTGCGTAGCCTCCAGGTGAGCAACCTTTTACCCTTGGGCAACCCGCAGGGTTCCGTAAATCAGCCGCAACATGTGCACTGTAGTCTCGCCCCTTGTTGACCCTTTTTCGGTTTCATTCCTGGCTAAATGATTCCCCGAAAAAGTCCAGGTTTCGTTTAAAACAGCTAAATTGTGCACGTGCTAAATCTTGTCGATGTACTGCACTGCGGCGCGACTTTGAATGAACATGACTGCTCATTAGCTAAGAGGAGCGCCCCCACAACACAACTAAGAGCTGCAAGAAGGAAGCTTGCAGCAAACAGCATTCGTATGCTATACACACGGTGTATACTAGGTTTCTGGCTGCTCGTTAATTGTGATTCGTGCGCCTTGGTGGCGCCAAAACATAATTGGTTTATGTTCTTCTCATCTCTAACAGATCAGACCAGACAAGCAGCCATCAAAGTCCACGTACTTTTGTGGGTACCGCTCGACTGCCTGCAGCATCTGGTGACAGAGTGGTCCAGGAAACAGAGTGTTGCATGTCCCTCATATCTACCTGCAGTGAACTGAAAAGCCGGAGCATAGGTCAAGGAAGACAGTCTGGGGTTCGTCAAAGCTGAAGGCATGGGGATAATGATGTTCTCCACCTATCGAGCACCACAGCAACAACAGCGAAACTAAAACCAACAAACATCAACTCAATCATCAAAATCAACAATACCATCACCGCCACTCCCGCCGCAAGCATCACCAGCACCACCACCGCCGGCATCGCCACCACTAGCACCAGCACCAACACCAACACCAACAACAAGAACAACCACAACCACTACGACAGCGACAACGAACGAACGAACAACAACAATGACTATAGCACATAACGAGAACAATAACAACACCTCCAGCACCATCAGCACCACCAGCAACACCAACACAACCACCTCCACCACCTCCACCACCAACAACAACATGGACAGCAACATCAACAACAGCAGCAGCAACAACAACAACAATGACAGCAAAAGCAACACCACCACCACCACCACCACCACCAACAACAACAACAACAACAACAACAACGACATTTTCATTCACACGCAGCGGGAGGATACTGTCTGAGGTGAAACTTGACGTCCACGCTTTGCGAGGGTCGACCTGCTGCTCTGCTTACTACTTGCGCGGTCACTTCATGACGAGCCGTGCCTTAACACAGCACTCGCACACGCTCCGCCCCTCAAGGCTGCAAGCAATGAAGTTGGAATCGGACGTGTCGTCAGTGGCTCGAGCTGCAGACTATGGCACTAATGAGCGAGTTAACTGGCTGATTGGCAATGTATCTCTGACTGATTGGCGACTTCCATTTTGCACACTGCTGTCTCGCAAGAATGTCTAGCCTCGCTGTGAAGGCTCGGTACGAACCACTAGCTCTATGTTATAGTAAAGGCGGTGAGGCAATGAAACACTCAGTAAAGGCAGGCCAGGCGCCGCTTCCAGCCCGTTGTTGACATTTGTAGATGGCGGAGCAACTCCTGCCGGACCTGTGCTGGTGACATGAAGCTCTCCTGTCCCTGGATGGGAGATCGTTGAGGTCACAGCCTTTGGCGGTGGTCCCAGGGGAGAAACTCCTCCCGGGACTCCACCTTTCGCTGGCACTCCTGGTGCCTTACCTGGTCCCGGTGTCCGATCTGTGCTAGATCCACTTCCTGACAGGTTAACAGGCATCGGAGGCGGCGGGCCCTTAGGGCCTGCTGCTTTGGGGGCTGCTGTGGGAGCTGCTGTGTCTTCAGAGTCGGACTCCCGAATGGAGTCACTGGCTGGCGGCGACCTGGATATATGGGGACGACGACGCACTGGTGGAGGGGTTCGAGAGGTCGCTCTGTTGCCACTCTTCTTCGGTGTTTCAGGCATGGCTTCTACACTCAAGACAGCTGGCGAGTTGAGCCTGTACGAGGAGGCAAGTGGAGCTTACAGAAGACTTTTGGCTGACAACTCACTTGCAGATCCGGGCCCACGACTTCGCACGGAGCTTCTCATGCGACCTCGGGGTATACTTGCTGTCTGGTGATGAAATTGATGTGACCGTCGGCCTCATAACACAGATTTTTTGCGTGAGCAGCTGCATTATCTGTGTGAGGAGGGTCTCCACCGTTAGGTGAGGGTCATCACGATCAGAGCGGCCTGTTGTCGCCTCCGTACTTAGTACCTGATTTCAGGCTCTGGTAGTACTCTATGACGGAAGGGGGCACTTCAGAGGGGGTGAGAATGACGCCGTTCTTGCTACGGAAAAATTGCACCCCTTCCTGCATGGCTCTGCGTGGATCAACCGCCACCAGCATCGACGAGCTGTCTCTGATTCCAGAAACACCAGGTCTCCCATAGTCCTGATCCGAGACGAAGTGAACATGCTGTCGTCCCTCTCTGCCACGTCCACCTTTGCCGCGACCCTTGGAAATCTTTTTCTGAGGCAAAAGGCCTCGTTGGCGTATGGAGTCATACAGGGACCAGAACGTGCCATGATACAGCATTCTGGGGAGCATCTCCTCCGTGAGTTCCTCCAACACTTCGTTGGAGTCCACATCAGAGCGAGAATGTCCTTGCAGAGCCCTGATGTACTTCTGGCCTTGGCAATCGCCCAGCTCGTACCTGCCTTTTTCGTTACTCCGAACGACCTCCAGGAGGTCGCCTGCCGTGGCGTGCTGGGCCTGCACTCTTGGCCATCTCAGGACTTCCTCTAATTTGGCCCAGCCAGCTGAAGTGACGCTGAGGTAGGGTTTATGTCCGTGCCGGAGCGAAGCTGCTAGAGCCTTCGAGACTTCGATCGAGAAGCTGCTCTCCGGCTTCGTAGAGGCAGTGCGATATTCCCCTAGATCGCCTGGTTGGCCTTCCCAGGCCACTATAGTGGAGCTGCGTGGCGTTGTTGAGCTGTGATCAATCTCTGGCGCCATGGTCGGGGGAGAAACTCCACCCTGTGAGCTGGATGCCTGCTCGCGAAACGGAAGGGGAGCAACTCCTCCTTCCTTGACTCCACTTGACGAGGCTTCGCCAGGCAGCTCGTATCCCAGCGCCGAAAAGGATTCCCGAGCATGTCTCAGTGGTATCTCCAACAAGCCGCTCCACTCTCGGAGGTACTCACCTAAGGTGAGTGTCTCCTTGGTTGATATTTGCAGTAGCAGCGCTCGGATTTTGACTGCATCATAGGAGTATATCAGTTGGTTTGTTTTCTTACCCTTTTTTTGCGATCCAGAGTGCGCAGCCTCCACCTCAAACATGGGCCGCACGAATATGTGCCGAGGTCCTATCCTCACCAGACAACTGTAGCCGGCAGCAAGATGCCTGTTTGACATCCTGTGAAGATACACGCCTGGTCGTGCCTCGAAGCTTCGCGTGCCGGAGAGGTCAGGTGTCGAAGGAAGTAGCCTGCCTGTGGCCAGTATCCCATGCAAACATTCCAGGTGTGTACCGTGGAATGCAACCTCGCTGTCCCCTGCAGGAAGAATGTTCGGTGAAGAATACTCAAAACGAAACCACCCATTCTCTTCAGCTGTGGGATATCCAAGCTTAGGATGCAAAGGCTCATTGGCAAGTCCCCGGCGGGAGGCCAAGAAGGTCTCCAGGAGAGCATTGGCTACCTCCGGGGAGGGTCGTTCCACCTGATTGAGACCATCTCGCAGCTGCTGAGTGACTGTCACCATAATTCGGTGATTGTTCAGCTCAGTGATGTTCCCATCACAGTCTGACATCAGACTGGGAAAGGGGGTATAACCAGCTGACTGAAGAACTTTGATCGCAGCTTCCGTGATGGGGTCCCCAGAGGGAGGATCTCCACTCTTGGCCTTTGCTGCTGGGGGAGTGTCTCCACCCTCGCCTTGCCCTGTACTTCTTTTCTTGGAAGGAGGAGGAGGGGGAGTGACTCCACCCTTTCCGCTTCCCTGCTCTTCCTGTCCACCAGTACCTTTAGAGGCTCCTTTATGTGCAGGATAGCTTTCGCCGTGAGCACGAGCGGAGCGCCTCCACTGGCGCAGGAAATTGCGATACGTGACATGCGGAAGTTGTTCACGTACCCGTCGCTGACAGAATTCCTCGTACTCCGCTTGAAACGAGGGATCCTGTGTTGACTCAGGTCTGGACATGGTGCTGAGTCTTGAGAGAAAGCTGCGGTTTTTGGCTCAAGCTGGCTGAAGCTGACTCAAGCTGGCTTCGAAGCAGGCGGCTAAGCCTAGGCCACTGAGCTCCAGGCCACCACGAGGAGACCTGCATCACGGATGGTGGAGTGCTGTTCGGTCAGTGTGTCTCATTGCAGGCAGAATTATTGCAGGCAGCGACTCAAAGCTTTTAAAAACCCCTAGGGAGAGACTCCGCCAGCTGTACACCCCTCGTTGGGGGAGAAGCTCCACCAAATAGGGGAGAAGCTCCACCTATGACTCTTTGGTTCAAAAACTCCTGGGGAGTAACTCCACCAGCTCTACGCCAAACGAGGGAGAAACTCCTCTCTTTGTTACAGGAGCTCCTGCTTAGGGAGCATCTCCTCTTCTCACTTGGCTCAGGAAGTGGCGGCGTTGAGGTGATTGTAAGTTACCTCCCACGTCGCCGAGGCCAGGTTGAGTCTGCCGTCTTCAGCAAAAAACTGAGACCTCAACGTCTGCACATCAGCTTGGTATGCCTCTTGGTACTCAGCAGGGAGATATTTGGCGATGTATCCCGTGATATGGGATTCGCGTTCCATTGTCTCCAAGTCGTACCGGTGGTAACCGAGGCTTGTTGGGGAAAGCAGGTCTCCAGCATGGATGCGAACCAAAGAGAGGTACTGCATCCCCTGTTCAACCAGGGCTCTTCGTCTTCTGTGTCGGATTTGTCCCCATTCATCGATCCCCGATATGGAGTGGAGGTGTGTGAGCACCTTGCGGATCCCACCTTCCGGGAGTATCTCCACGGCAAGGTTCAGGATCTCATCCTTAGTGATGAGCCCAAGCCCCTTCACTCTCTCTAGCAGCTCTGTGAGCACGGCCCAGGGGAGTATCTCCACACCTTGGGACTTCTGGTGCAGAAAGTGCACCGCTGCGATCGTCGGGAGCAGCATCATGGCCAGTCGAGTTGGCGTCTGATCATACATGGTCGAGGAGGAGAACCACAGTCTGATTGATTAGCTTTTTGAGCCTGAGAGCTTCATCATGAAGGAACATGTGCGGCAATGCAAGCGGTGCCAACTTGAGTGCAGTGCTCCGCGGGAGGGCCTCCTCGCCATTCGTCAAAGACGCTTCAGTCTCCTCACGGGCACGAGCATGCTAGGGGAAGGGGCTAAGTGGGAGCAACTCCTCTTCGTAAGATTTGATGCGCTTCTACTGAGCTCTAGGTTCCAGTCCCGCCCACTCGTGGGGCAGAGCTGAAAAGATCTTGTCCTCTGGAGAAGATCAGGAGAGCAAATCGCGAATCTGGCGAACCAGCGGCGATGGCTGAGTTCCCATTCGCTGGAAATCCGCGTTTATGAGCGAAAATGCAGTGTTGCCAATTAAGGACTGCAAGGTTTCCTGCAGTTCAGATGTGGCCGCCCTGGTTGACAGTTGGATCTGGATTCGGACCGGACCTCCCGTCATGCCTTCGGTCAATGGCCGCGAGGTTTTGAAGAGCTTGATGTGTTCCGGATCTGAGG